CCAACCCCAAAAGTCAGCAACCTAGGCTCTAACCCTCATTTTCTTTTGATCTAGGCCTGCCAGGACAACATTATGCTAAAAATTGAAAATAGCTTATTGTGAGAGTAAAACTTTTCAATACTTCATTGGAAATCTGACCACTACAGGTAATTTAACATTTCTCCAAATGTAAGTCTTCAACTACATCCTAATTCTGGAGGAATGCAAAAAGCTGGCACAACATCCTTCTTAGAACAAAAGAAAATTATTAAGATCCTAAACGTATAACAGATAGAAACAAAAATGATAAATGGGCACCATGAATTCAAAATGACTGCTAAGAAAAATGCCGAGAGACTGTAAAGCAGATATTCAAAGTTGAATAATCTCTAAGGAACATACCTAGCACTCTTTGTTTTATTACACAAGAGTACTATACACATCGGCTGCAATGTATTGCAATCTTTTCACAACACACAACATCCAGTACATCTAGAAATAGACCTGAAACAGCCTAGATCAATGCAAAATTCAAGATCCCTCAAGCACAGGATGTTCTCACAACTCTGAGACCATATATGGATGGCCTTCTAAATGAAGCATTCAACATTCAACTTTATCACTTAAAACTATGCCATTTCCTTAGATTGTGTTCACAAGCTAAATTTGATATGCACAGTCAAAATAGACAACAGTGCAAGTACACAGGAGATATTTTCCATACCTAGTGTTATTCAAATAGAACCGAAACAACACATCAAGCACAGGAATTCTAATACTAAGAAAATAGTCATATGCATATCAGCAGTAATTAATGCAGAATGTCCTGTTCTGTGGGAGTAGTAACAATATTTTCTGCAATATATATTTACAATATTGTGGGATTCTTGTAGAACCAACCAAAAAGTCAGAAGGATCACTTGTCATGAAAGTGGAAAGCAGAACATTGAGGTATTTCAGCCAAAATCATCTGCATTTGTTTAGGTTTTATCCTGTACACAGCACTATATGCAATGTAACCCTGCAGAACCTACATGGGCTCTGACATAGGCTTTGCAGTCAGAGTTCAAAATATGAGGACGAAGTCGCCTAAAAAAAAAAGTGAACACTCACCACATAAGCATCTTAAGGTCAAAGAGTCTTCCCACTCTAACAAGAAGGAAAAAGCAAACATTAAGTATAAACAATTAAGTATTTCTTCTCTTTGCTTTAAGTTGGCCAAGAGGAAATTCAGGATGAATTCACTACCAAATTTCCAACAGCACATGTGGAAAGCCAAACCAAAAAATACTTTAGGTAATAGTCTTAACTGCGAAGAACACCAAAAGGCTCCAGCTGCTCTGTTTTCAAGCCTGTCCTGAGGAGATACAGTATATTCTACCTATTCAATGTTTTCTGAGTGCTCAAAACACGTAATGAAGTCTCGGATTCCACAGAAATGCAGTGGATTTGTGGGAGACTCAGGCAGCACAAGTTTAGCTAAGGTTGATGGAAGTCTATTTCCCAAATCAGAAGAGGAGACAGGAAGGCTCAGTGGGCTGGAGCTGGTGGGAGCTGGCCATTAGCCCACACGGAAGAAGGGATTGAAAGGACAGAATTTCCACCCTGCTCTGTCACTTGCAGCTTGCAAATGACTCCTCCCTTGGGATCAAATGATGAAGGAAACTGCAGACAGGAGAGAAAAGAGCCAGAACCAAGTCCCTGCACTGCCATATCTGAGCTACCTCAGCCTGATGTCTTTGAATGCTCACCAGGTGCAGGGAAAGGAGCATTGAGAGCACACTACACCCAAGTATGTATATGGCTCCCCTTCCAGTACCACTTGGCTCCTTACTCCCATATTTCTGGTGTATTACAATATTGTTGAAGTGTATTCAGAGTCTTGTGAAATAATCAAACATTATGCTTTGGATAAACTCCATCCCTTTGCCAAATGTTTTCCTCATTAAAGTGCTATTAAAAATATTTTGAATGATTACACTGAACTTAAATGGTGCTGAAGTCTTCCAAAATTCTAGCAAGCTACAAGGAAGAAATAATACAAATGCTGAAGAAAACAGTTGTTTTGTTAATATTCTATTTAACACAGCTGGATTCTTAGGAATTTTATCCATCTGTATATTGAGTAAGCAAGGCAAATTAATGCTTAGAACTGGCATTTCCTCAGTGAAGAACAAACAACTAAAATGAAAAAACTCCCCCACAATCTGTCTCTCTCTGCCCCATTCCAGATAGACATGCACACCTCCCCTGTAGCCATTGAACCATGAAGTAACTGGAGAGGATTCTTCACAGACAGACGTAATTTATAACAAAGGCAGGAAAAGGCAACCCTAACACAGAGCTTGCTGCCCTTCCTATAAAGTTCACCTCCTTACAAGAAAAAGCAGAGAATAATTTGTTTGGTTTCTGTACTCAACTCCTTTTTCTTTTATTGTCTAAAGTTTCCATTGTCCTTTTATGTTTTGATTATTGAGTAAGTCTCTAGACTTGCCAAATAGTCCTAGATTGTTAACAGACCACCACTATTTAACTTTGAAAGTTTTAACAAAATAAATGCACAGTTCACATTAATATTCTATACCCTCATTTTATTTATTATCTTTCCTTTGAAACTGAAACAATTTTCTTAGCTAAGGTTTATTAAATGTAAACCTAAGTAGCAATATAAGTTACCTCATACCAACAGACATCCTATAAAGCTTAGCTTTCTAATCAGTAACACCACATTTTGCTGAGCTTAGCATATTTATAGGAAATCAAAATAATGTTTTATGAATGAAATATTGAAATACATCAGATTCAATGTTCAGTAAAAATACTTTATGTTGCATCTTGTGACAAGTTGTAAAATTCAAAGTAGAATTAAAGGTAAAATTCAAGGTAGAATTAGAAGACAAACAAACTTTCTGGTGCATTTTAAAAAGGATCTTTAAAGGATTGTAAAATTCATCTGTTATATAGACTTGGATTATATTTGTCCTCATAGCATCAACTAAATGGATGAAAATTTATTAAAATATATATTGATTATAAATCATCATGGTAAAGAAATGTCATGCTATTTATTTATATGAATAAGGTCAACATATTATTCATAACATAAGGTCCTAAGATTTATGAATTTGATACATAAATATTCACCCATGGGGATACATTCCTATGAAATATCACATCACTTGCCCATTCCACAGATACTTTCATGAATACAATTTAATTTTCAAGATGATGAAAAGCTGCAGATAAAGGTAATGGGTACAAAACTGTTGTTAATTGTAGTATAAGGTAATGGATTTCTGCCTGCCAATTACCAAAAATTATGCAGGAAATCTTGAAAACAGGGCAACAGCTCTGTAAAACCAGTCTCCAGTAAGTCAAATTATACAGGCACCCAAGTGGTACCTGCTGGCAAACAATTTTTTAAAAGGGCAGCTAAATTTGAACCAGCAAAATATTAACAAAATGTGTTGCATTCTTGAATTACTGCTTGATGCCTGCTACATTACATGGAAGAGTTTAATACTGAAAATAGCATTGTTCTGCAGCAGACATAATGCACTGGGCTCAAAATAAAATTTGTTTTTGGAAGATTCCTTTCAAGTTTTGTTCTCTGAACTTCCTAAAGTTTAGTTATTGTGCAAATAACTTTTTGCCAATGTGCTAGCAATAACCTACCCAGCTCTCACCAGCTTATGTAAAGCCCTTCCAATGGTTTGCCACACTGGCTGAAAGAGAATCCTGTTTTCTAGATTCCTGTCTCCCCAGCAACATCTACTGTGGCAAGCTGAGGACCCCTAGATCACGGGGGTCTTGCTTCAGCAGAGCCAGCTATGCTGTATGGCACGAGGATGGAACTGGGGCTCTGAAATGACCTTCAAAAGCACTACTTTTGTGTCAGGGAGTTTAAACACAGACATGTAAAAATAGCAATTCTGTTAAGTGTCTTTTGGTTTTTTTTGTTTTAAACTGGAATTAAATCAAACTGCAAAATTATCAGATTCTCCTATGAAACAAAATTACTGATCTTTGCTCAGCTCCAAGTACTTTCTTTCATGTTGGTCAAGTTAAACAAATAGAATTCCCAAAGGGCATCAACAGAGTGAGCTATTCTAGAATACTAGAAAAGTAAAGTGAAATTCATATCCTAAAAGTCTGCCTTCAGTTTGCTTAACAGTCAGTTCAGTTTGCTTAACCGCTTTAAAACTTCTCCAAATCAATACATTTCTGCCAATCTCAATGTCTTGAATTAAAATTTACAGCTTGATTGATAACCACTTTTAAACGTGCTGTAGTCTTCTGATAGAGCACTTCATCATTTGGGTCATAGAACATTCTGATGAATAGCAGAAACAGGCTGTCATTAATGTACTGACTATGCTTCCAGTCAAAGTCTACAATTCTTAGCTGACCTGCATTCCATCAAATAAACAAGCCATTACTGCTCTTATCACAATTATGTATGTTTACACACATACAAACACATACATGCGAACACACAGAAAGTGGAAATCAAGCCACTTTCTAAATAAATAATTAAAAAACTCATAGAGCACATCTGTGTATATATCAATTCCTGCATAGTTCAAGAAATATTTTCCTGCCAAGAATTCAAGTTTTTTCCCTCTCTCTAACATCATACAGTCAAAAAAAGTGGTGCTTTGTCAACTGTACAACTGAACTAAATAGAATTGAACTTGTAGATCATGAGCCTCATTTTTTTCTTTTTCCCTCTAGTATCTTTAGTTTTTCATCCTCTAGGGCGCTGAACAATGTGACCCCAGTCGCTTTTCAGTTTAATTCTGTGTATGTGAATAGGTCAATTCAAATTAAAGTTCCCGAGTTGTTAAAAAGAGGTGCTTGATGAAACACTGGCTGGTCAGAACCATGGTGCTCTGTACAGTGAAGGCATAGCCCATGTCAGCTATTTGGCACTTGTCCTGCCTGAATTCTTTTCTTTTGTGACTTCACACATTACTGAGTTAAAAAGCAGGCTTGTTTTGTATCTGACGTTTCTTAAGAAAATAATTTTTAAAATGTTTTGTTAATCATTCTCTAAAGCATTGTAAAAGTACTCAGCACTGGCTAATGAATTCCACAAGCTCTCTGGAGCTCTCACCAGCTTTTAGGGCAGAGCAGTTCAGCTACCAAAACTCAGGAATATTAAAACTGCATTAAAAGACCATCAGTATGTGTCCTGCATAGAGCTGTAACTGCTAAAGCTCAGTGTAGCTCTCCTACAGACAAATGAGTATATCAACACTATCTTTGGAAAACAAAAGCTGTTTCTATTAGACAAAGATGCTTAAATATTTGAAGTGCCACTGCATACAATTCCAACAGACTCCACTTTTCATTCAGACTAATCACAAGTCCTTCAAGATCTCTGTTTACACCCATTGCAAGCCTCAAGACCAAAGAGCTGGATATCTGTGAATTTTTTCAAAAACCCACTGGCTCTCCAGCTGCTTACTTCAGTAATCTGAACTTGGGTACAGCACACTTCTGTAATGGACATCAAAAATTTCCCCTCAGGCATCAAAAGACCAAGTATCAGTTTTAAACACCCATAATTGGAAAATAATGAACCTACTCCTGAAGCTGTAGTTTTGATCTTCATAGCAGTAAAGGCCTGAGGAACATGTTTTGAAGGAAAAAATAAATAAGAGCATGGAAACAAAAGAGAAATGGAATGTAACACAACATCAGTTTATCAAAGATACATGATGCCAGACTAATTTCATAGTTTATTAAATAAATAATTTTCTAGACAAATGCAATGTGAGAGACATGATCAAATTATGAGTGGGCAGGAATACCACACAGATGAGCACCCTTGAAGTCTATTCACTCTTGTATTCAACGACAAATTGGGAGGTGACAATGTGGGGACATGGGACATCTTTTTTTTAAAGCCTACAGTGCACTGGGAGTACCTCAGCTAGAAAATACAATAACAAAGGAGGACTAGATTAGCAGATATACGATGACATAGCCACAAAATACAGGTATAAAATGTGCTTCTAGGACCTATCATGTAGGCTATTCCAGCACAGGAAAAGAAATAGCTATTGATATTAAACAAGGCCTTGCTTTTATCTCAGCAACAATATTATGTCAGTTTGGTCACTTATGTTCTAACAAAACTGATTTAAAGTGGAACAATTGTAGAAGAAGGCCAAAAGGATTACAAGAGGCTGGTACGAATGTAAGCACATGTGTATCAAAGTCTACCTTTAAAGCAAAGATTAGAGAAGATTGGCTTTTCTAGTCAAGCTGAATGAAGGCTGACAATAAGATTGCTGTCTCTTTATACACTGGAAAAATAAACACTGGGGATGGAATGAGAGCTAAAGGTAAATACTGGCGCGAATTGGCACAAGAACAAATAAGCTTGTCATGAATACACGCAGACCAAAACTGCAGTTTTATAACAATTACAGAACCAGGTATCAGGGCACTTCCCTAACTAAAGGAACAAAGACAAAAAAAGAGTAACTTTTTAAACTGGAGTTTGACAGGTTTCTGAAGAGGAATATGAATATTTCCCTATGAGAAAGCAGCACGACAGCTGACAATTGAAGACATCCATTCCAGTCCTATGCTCTTCTTCATATCTTTGCCATGGTGATATTTAGAAAACAATTCTACAAAAAATCAGCTCACTGGTTTTTAGGCACTAAAAATACCTGAAACCACCAAGCTTTGAAAAGCACTCCATTAGCTGGGGAATGAGTTTCCATGGTGTGAACTGATATGCTTATGGAAATGTTCCGGTTTCATACATCTCTAAAATGCAGTTCTCAAGAAATTATGGAGCAAATTTGTTTGAACAGTGATTGATTAACCAATCCAAATATGTAACACCTAATGAGGATTACACATCGAAGTTAAGTCCCAGACTTCAGGGTTTTTGCCATCAGAAGAAAAAAAAGCTTTATTAGCTTTCAAAAAGCATATTCTTCCTATCCACCTCCTTAAATTCAAACAAAGAAATTCGGTTCAAACTTAAAAAGAAAACCCAACTCAACCTACAACTGGATAAGGACCAGACACAGTCCAAAAGCTTAATGCTTCAGAAAGTAAGGAGTATATGAAACAAAAGCATTAATGGAAACTAGTCTGGAACTCTAAGTACTGAGGATGATATCTCGTGACTACTATAATACTGAATCTGCACTCCCATTAAATTTAACCTTCAATATTCTTATTGCAACCTGACCCACGATGACATCTCTAAAGAAAATTACACTGTACACTACTATTTCAAGAAGCCAAACTTAGCTAGTCATCTGGGCCATAAAATAGCAGGTTACTCCATCAGGCTGGCTAAAGCAACTAGGAAAAAAACTAGATTTACCAACCACATTATTTTTATTAGGAAATGTTTCAAAGCAGACATAATCCCAAAAGACCTTAGCACCATACCATCCAAAAATACACAACAGAGAGCAGCAAAAAACATGAACTGCAATGTAAGGTTCAATTTGTAAATGAGAGAAAAAAATTGTAAAATATATTGTATTATATCATCCTATTAAAGCAAAATAAATTAACTAAACATAGAAATAGAAAAGAATAAAAACTTCTACACAATTCATGTATTAACAATTTAAACCCTTGTTATAAGATCTGACATGTTAATAGGAATTGCTCAACTGAATCCCTGCACATCAAGATTTAGTCTGTACTCCTTTTGCTTTCCTTGAAATTGCAAGCCAATATAGGTGTACTAAATCACAGCTAGAGAACAAAATGTCCAGAAAAGGCAGAAAGAAAAAAACCAGTATCTTTAACAGCAATATTCCTGAAGAACTCTATTGGTAGCACAACTTGCATTTTATTTTGGATCATAGCCACAGAACAGCTAAAGCACAGACTCTTCTCTAATCATTCTAAATGGGGGGAATTGCCCATAACAGTAACAGGGGAAAACAGCAATTAATTTACTTGGCAATGTTAACACTTCTCAGCAATTCTTTATACCATCATGTTTTCTAACAGGTATTCATGCATACATAATATATAGGTCTTTGTATATCTGGAATGAAGGAGAAGAAAGGGATTTGATATCTAGAAAAGCAAGTTTTAAATTTTAAATACTGTCAAAGTAGGTTATGTGTGATGTGTGTTTTATCATTTAACCAAGCATTTATTTCTTTCTGTTTTAATCTTTTTTTTCCTAGGCAATATGATCACCTCAAGCAGTTTGAGGTTTAAAGGCTTTAGCCAATGTGAAAAAAAAAATATATATTTAAATTAGCCTGGCATTTGTTACCTTTTCTTAAAGACTTGAACACTGTGTTTTACAGAGGTGGCTTTATTATACTAGCTGCATCAAGTGCAGAATATTAATCAGACTGTGAAGCTCCACTAATTATGCGCTACATTTAAATAACTTAGATTTTGTTAAGTGGCACAACCACAGTTGTATGTATAATCTGAGTTTTGAGTAATTTCTCTTTTCTCGTCTGATTTTATTCTACACAGGAAATTACAGGGTCATTTGGAAATAACTGCAGTGAAAGATCAAAAAGGAAACTTGATTGAGAACACTGTATAATTGCCTGTGCTAGAGAAAAAAAAGTTCCAATGATTTTACAACCCATCACTGTAAGATTTCTCTGGGAAACACACACTGTGGTCTCCCTAAAAGGATATACATTACAACATTGAGTACAGCTTTTATTTGCTGTACCTTCATCTCTTAAAGCAGATCTTCTCCTGAGGCTGTTGGGCTTTTATTCTGTAGGTAATTCTTTCGGCACACATACTCACTGAGCTAAAGCCATTTCAGTGGAAACAAATCAATTCTGTTGAAGTAAGTAATTTCACTGACTCGTCTCAAAGTGTTCATTTGCAAAAGGAGATAATGCTGTAATTAAGCTCTTGGAACACCATAGATCTTGTTATTTAGGCAAATCTGGCTGTTACAATTTACAGTGTCTTATTCCAAAAGAACAGGCTTTTATTGCTGGAGATAAAGGAAAACTTTTTAGACATTAGTTGCACTCAGAGTCAGGATCACATTCAGCTTTGAGCTGTGGTGTGTCTGCAGTGGCTTTTTTTCGGTATTGGTCTACATAACAGGATAGCAGCCAAACTTCCAGCACAGATTTACTATCTACTTTCAGGACATGGATTTCCCAGTTGATCTCCTGTTCCCTGAGCAGATGGACTGCAAAGCAATGACCCTAGGTGTGCCCCTACCACAGCCACACACCCCAAAACACTGCAGCCCAAAAGCTATGTTCCTCTAAGGGACTGCAAAATAGAAGTAATGATCTCTTTTATGCATAAGAATTTTTAAATAAAACAAGCTACAGCGAAAGAACTTGAAGTTTATGCTGAGTTCACCTCTCCTCACATTTTAACACATAAAGTGCAAATAATGCCATAAATTTGTATGTGCAGCTTCAATACCTTAAACTTTTACTTATTGAACAACAATGCATTACCCTATCAAAATGAACTCTAATACAATATAAGTATTGATTTCCTTGGGTGTTGGAGTGTACTTGGACAAATTAAAAACTCTCTGCCATGGAGCTCAGAATACAAAACAGATGGATTAAAGTGAAGTGGCACCATTGGTAAGAAAAGGCCATGAAGGAGTTACAGCTGAAGATTGTCATGCAGGGCTTTGTGATAGTTGTAGCTGCAGATGACACTTGTTGCTTGGATGGACCATCACTGAAGTCATTCCCTGAAATTCATTTCTACCATTGCTCAGAAGTGCTGATACCCTCAGCAGAGGTGGTGCTCCCCAGCAGAGCCTGCCCAGGGCAACCCCTGTCCTGCGGCTGGGACAGTGCATGATGACCTCACCATCCCAGAAATGAGACTTCAGGAAACACAAAGACATTTCTTTTAAGCTAGTCTAAAACCTTCTAAGATTAATGGTTCAAGTTTACACAAGAATTACTTAATCAAAGCCTCATTAAAATCAATTTTACCAATTAAGGAGTGCTAACCACCCATTGATCTAATTACCCAATATGAAACCCCCACCCTAACATAGTAATGCTGAAGTTCTGCTCTACCTTTACATTGACAGTTTTGTAACCAATTTCATCATAGTTGGAATTTCAACCCACCTTGTAAATGAAAAGAATAATTTCCAAATATTTGCATCCATGCCAAGAAATAATAATATATATAATATATATTTTATAATATATAAAATTTTTATAATATGTCTACTTAAAAGCAACATGGAAAGCAATTATCCCGTATCACCAGAGTCAAAAATAACAGCTGAAAGTGTAAAGGAATTTTTCCAGTGCACCAATTTTAACTTCATTGTGTACTGATAAGCTAAAATATAGGTACCATATTATACTACTGTGCCTCTCTGGGCAATCAGTTATCTCCTAATACAAATTTAAGATGCAAATATTTTTTAATTTATCATAACATACATCCTCAAAAAACACTGTCAGGCTAAAGGAAGGTTTATTTGATTAACCTGTCCATTTGATTAAAGGCCACATTCTGCATCAACACATTTTCTTATGTATTTTTTCACATGTAAGTTAGAACACATGACAAAGCTCGCTGTGAAACCAACTCACTATTGTTAAGCAAACTCTTTCAAAATGCTCAACTTCTAGCTTGCTTCTTTCTACATAGTCTACCATATATAATATAATTCTATATAATTAACTCTTGGTGGCTACAATAGAAACAAAACTCTGTATATGCACATGCGTACATCTCTATTAGGGCTGTGGTCAGACTAGGCAATGGCACATTTTATGACATTTTATGACTTTGATTGCTGATTTTAAAGCAGACTCAGACTAACATTGCTAATTCAAATTACATGCATCAATTTACAAATACCTATATAAAAGCGTTCCTGATTTACACAACTAACAACTTAACCAATGCATTTATACTTTTTTGAAATCCCAAATTAATTTGAATATGAGGATCAAAACATCTTAACTTGCGCTCTTTAATCAGGCGTTTTACATTAGTAATGCAGGGATGTAGACAGGAGGTTGCTTTGAGCAATACAAAACACATGCCATGGTGAACTCGTTAAGTAACTGCATAATGAGTTCCATCTATATAGATGACTCACCTCATTACTTATCACAGGTTCTTCTCCACGACTGTGGAAGAGGTATTCATACGCTTTATAGTTTTTAAATACGCTGAAAAACAAGATAATATAGATTACCCCAGCTGTAAATTTTTGGAAAGGTAACAATATTGTAAGTTTTGTTAAACTAAGAGTTTTGTTAAACCTCTGTCGTGGTTTTAAACCAGTAACTAAAAAAATTACTTATTTCTTGCTGTGAGATATGGATTAGAGCAAGAGCAAAACAGGCTTAAAAGTTAAAAAGGAATAAAGAAAGTTTATTAACAAACTACAAGAATAAGAACACCAGAATAAACTTCCAGAAAACCCTTTTTATCCTCCACTACCCACCATTCTTTTTTTCACATGACAACATAGAGACAAAAATTTTGGAACTTCAGTGTTTAAAACAGTCCCAGTTCCTGCTAGAGTCTTTACATCAGTCTTTGTAGAGAAACAGAAGTTTTCTTCTGCTAATCTATGGAGTTTTTCACAAGAAAGCTATTTCTTGCTATAGCTTTCTATTTTCCTGATGCCAGCTGCCCTGAAATTTGTCATCAGAGTTTACTCCTCCCATTTCACATCACTCTGAGGTGTGTATGTGCCATGAGTCTAGGGATGGCATTTTAAGGATGAGTTATTCAAAGGCGAAAGTCTTCTTCATCTGTCTTTGTGAGCTCCACTGGAAAACAGTTTTCTCACTGCCCCCCAAGGCTTCAAATTTTCCTTCACTCTGTTCCAGCACTGTATCACAATTACTCTACTTTTTACTCAAAATCTACACTTTGAACACTCTATTCCTCCCTATATACTCTGTCATGAATTAAAGGAGTTTTTTCAAGACCCTATTGTCCACCTCCATAGCTTTAACAGAAAAATATTTCAGCTTATAAAGCATCTCCTTATTCTCTACCTTTTCTGAAGCTTAATTCTTTTCATTACTGTCTCTGATAGTTTATAAAGTCTCTTTACATGTTGATTACTCTCTTTTTCTTTCTCTGGATAAAAAAATGATTAATCTGCAAGTCTCATCTGGGTAATGAAAGGGTTACAATCTTGCCCAGGCTTTGTAGATGGTTCTGTGATCTCTGCTGGAGCAGCAGCTGGAGCTGTCTGCGATGGAAGATTCTTCATGGCTGCTCTGGAGAGTGTGGTCACTGTCTCAGCCTGCCGCAGGTCGAGAGCTTTTTTTTCCTTTCCTTACTCGGCAGTTTCTGGTGAATTCCGTCACGGCAAAACTGCAGCCGAACCAGGGACCAGCCTGGCCCGGCCAGAGCCTGGGGCAAGCCCCGCAGGCCCCCCTCTCCCAGCTGGGAGCCACTGGGCCCAGCCCAGCCCCTGCCCAGGCCACATGGCCACATGGCCTCAACGAGAGGTGAGCCGGAGCTCTGTTACCTTTCACAGCCAGAAAAACAATGAGTACAGGAGAGCTCTGGCTTTACATCTTAAGGTATGGTTCACAAGTTTATCTCACTTTTCAATGGTCAAAACTGCTGTCAATTCTTAGAAATGACTGATAATTGGTCAGGAAGAAAGACTTCCATCAGCCACCAGCAGTTTCAACTTCTTTAGCTCTCAAAGCTATCTTAAAGGTAAAGCCACCCCACGACACCCTCCAGCATGTAACATTCCAAATTTTAAAAAGAAACAGTTGTTTAATTTCAGATACAAAAAGCAGCACATTTAGTTTGCAGGATTTATTATCAGATGGCTGTAGAAAATACAGTGCAATACTTAAAAATACATCCACTTAGTCTTTATGAAGTTGAACTCTCAGATGACAAAGTTCTACTCTGAAAAAATGTAGTTCCTGAAACACTTATCACCAGGATACTTATGCCTTTTATTATCAGCAATAGCAGACAAGAAGGAAACAAAGCTAAATCTGCTTTCAGATTCTGGGATGGGCTGCAAGTACAGGGAGAAAGTTTGATCTTGGAACACCAAAACAATAAAGAATAGAAGCATTTATTCTCTCAAGGTCACTTTGAAAAATCAATGTAGTATTTCCTCAAAGAAAAACTAAAAAAAAAAACTAGATTAACACACAGCAATTTTGCGTATTACAACAAATGTAACTTTAAATAGACTTTGTCAATGGACTAAAATATTTATCTTCCTTAAAACACGTATGGCTATTTCACATGTTTTAAATCATTTTCTTTGTTTCCTTTTCTAATGATCAATGATATAGCATTTGTTTAACCAAAAGTTTTGCTTGCCACAGTCCATCTGTTACAACTAGTTCCTCTCTTACAGTCATGATACAGCACTGCTGCCTTCTGTCATGTCATTTCAACATATGATTTAAAACTCTGTGATTTCATATAAAGTCCAGATTGAAGAATGATTCCAAGAATTTACCACAGTCCTGCCTGCTGTATCCACGAAAGGTGTGGCAATATTTGCCGTGAACATCTGTAACTGGTTCCTGTGCTTTCTGGCTAGGGACAGGACACAGGCTCTTTTTTTGGAAGGCCCATCAGTTGGGTCAGGAGTACCATCAGCTTGGTACCAGCAAGGCCCAGGTAAAAAATCTGGCTGCCATCAGCTAGAGGCTGCCTTCCCCCAAACCCAAAGCACACTGGAAATTAATTAAGTTCTTACAGTATTTGCAATTTAATCTAAGTACATTTTTATTACAACACTTCACCAAAGAATTCCTGACATGTTTCAGTAGAGACACAGAAAATATATTTAAAGAGAGTTCAAGACTTAACCTGGAAATGACTCACACTGATTTATGTAAATCTATGTTCCCTTTCATACACACCTGTCATTTGGTAAAATTCTAACATGGATTATATGAAAAAAGACAAAAAATATTTTATGAACATCACAGACACACAGGAAATAAGACATATATCCTTCCAATCAGATTGACAGAAATTAATATTTCAAATTGGTTCTCTTATCCAAGTGCTTTGGAAATAATCCTGACTTACAGCACCTAAAAGTCAGGTATTTTACTTCCCCTTTCCCCCCAAATGTGTTATGGTACTCTTTATGGACTATGTTACAGCTACGTATAATTTAAGTACCCAAAAATATAAGTAATTATTTTTGGCATTTCTGAATTTTATGTCTTTATTTTTAAAAAGATCTGTGTTCTACCTGGTGCCCATAGTCCTGTATGAAGGAAAAAATTCCTCTGTTTAATGCTCTTTAAATCAAATCACATAAATTAGACATCCGCATTTATTTAGAAAAAACTGTAGTTTTCTTTCTTCTATCAGGCATTATACAAAATGCCCCTTTTTGTTTATGTTTGTTGTGAACAATTTAAAAATTCCATAACTGCGTTTCTAGCAATTACACAGAAATAATTTTACTTGTTTAAGTAATACTGTTAAGAATAGGCCCTCTTATGATGTCATATGAGAATCTGAAGGTGATTAACAATGACATATTTCCCCAGCTCCACTGCTTCCTGAAAATGAAATGTCAGGAGCTATGTTAATGTATGTTTGCCCAAGAAGACAAGATAAAAAGATGATAACTGTAACCTTCCACCAAACCTGAAGGTGTCATTGTAGTTGCTGCACAGTTTCTGCCAATGTGGTTAAGCATTTGTCCCTGTTTCCATTATAAATCCCATCGGTTTATAGCTCATTTGTAAAAATGTGATCTGAACTACAATGTGTCATACTGTTTTGAGTAGGAAAAAAGCTACAGGCTTATCATCTAAAATTAAACAAGAAAAAATATATTGAACTAATACAATAATTTGAATTGTAATAAAACTTAACCTACTTCTGAGTTCATAAAGTTTAAAGTATACCCATTTAAGTGTTCTAATTCCATTCTTATTTAGAAAAAAATATTCCAGTGACTGAAACAATGGATTGCATAAATTGGACACATATGATATATTTCAATGTATGTGTGTACATCCATGACATCGCCACAGCACACATTTGTAATAAATTGAGTAGTTTGGACATACAACCACATATTTGGTGGTCAAAATACCACTCTGCTGCAAAAGTTTTGCAGTTTGATTGTATTCCTGCCCAGCTAATACTCTGGTGGAAGTAGGATGGAGCACCTAATTTCTTGGATGAAATTCTTCCAACTGTGAAGGAATTACTTCATGGACAAGATATCTCTCAATAGATAATTTACACAAGAGCTATAGATATGCTGTTTGGAAAGAACATTTGTTCCATATAAATATATAAAAGACAGACAGGAAGACATAAGTAAAAGGAGCCGAGACATCTTAAAATGCCAAGTTTCCTTTTAGTTTAGGGCTAGTACTTGGCAGGACATTAATTTGCCTTGACGACAGAAATTAGGGATTTAAAGAGATGTTCCCATTTCTTATGGGAAGAACCTTAAGTGTTTTATATTTTCCATGAAAAAGCAATGAAAGAAAAAAATCAGACAGCAGGAGAAAGAGACATATTTTATAGTCCAATCATAAGAGAAATTGCCTGCAATGTGTTTAAATCCCCATCTGAATCCAAGTACTCTAAACTGGAAAGCTAATAGCTACCCTAGTATTTTACCTTTCTCAAGAGAAAATACTTTTCTGCATTTAGGAAAACACTCCAAAAACCCCTTCTTTGCTGCGTTAAACTTTTCCTAAAGAACATTCAGAAGATTCCCAACAAATCTATATATGGATCAATCATGATCTTACCCAATTTTTATGCCCATATGCCACAAATAGCGCCCCCCATCACCCCCGTTCAGGTCAGAAAATGGGCTGAAGGGCTACAGCTGCAGTACAGTGGATAAGCATATACTACAGGAGTAATTTACTGATTTTCCATCTCCTTGCCCCTGATATTCATGGATGGTTAAACAGCTTGAGAACCATTCTGTCCATCATGTACCACAAACAGGGGTACCTGAGTACAGCCACTGCCTTAACCACAGAATTCCAGTGGAAGAACATGTGTACAAACTACTATACAGTAAAAACTTTATACAGAGGCATTCCTGTTGCTATCAGACTCAGTAATTTTCTCAAATAAATAATAAATTTACTGCTGTTTGCATCTCTTTCTGTGTCTCTGTTTAAAAGCTAAGACCTGTCACAAAATATTTTCATATACATACTTGATTTTTGCTGATTTTGAAATGCAACATTTTTATGACTCCCATATGATCAAAACCTTAATTCTGTAAGTACACAGCTTGAAATCACTTCAGTCCCCTATAACTGTCAAGGCCAGACCAATACTTAGAATAATAGACTCTAGAGAAGATGTAAATAAGAGAAATAAGAGCTACAATTTTATTCAGATGGAATGTAAAAGTAGCTTTTAAAAGCAAAACAAGAATATTGTCCAGCCGCCACTCTTTTTTATTTTAGCGCTTGAAACAAAATCCAAAAGGAATATTTTCAGCATAATCTTACATTTTGATAAACTTCCAGTCTAAATTTATTTTCTGGGCTTTGACATCTGAGGCCAGATCTTTACTGCTCCTTGCATATTCTCTCTCCTTTTTCATGATATAAAGTTTGGTTAATAATAATAATAATATAGTAGTTGATGCTGAATTTGTTGTTAATGTTATTTTATCAGTCATTTCCCCACTAGATTACTGAAATAAGAACAGATTATGCAGAAATAAATACCTGGCAACCAAGTAATCAATGATTGCTTTGGCTTGCTCAATGCTGAATAAATTCAGGTCACCTCTTTCTGCTGACTCAGTTTCTCCTAATCCAGCCAATGCTCTTTCAAGTTCTTTTAAATTATCTCCCAAGGTCATATGTTTTCCTGCAAAGTAATCCCAAAGAACAAAATCCATGTATAAACGTGACAAGGTGGGATTGGATTTTTTGGCCCATTTTAATTATAAGACTTCTTGAGGTTTTAGTTATGACCCACAACTTAAAACCAACAGCAGTCAAACCAGTTTATTGCCATTATTCTCATCAATAAAGTGTCCATTAAAATTTCACTACAAAACCACCACTCTGCCTCCACAGTGGAAGGATCACAATAATGGGTGTTCAAGATACTACAGCTTCACCTCTTACCTATGCTGAGAGAACCACAGGCAGAATAATACGCAATTTTGAGAGGCAGAGTATGTTTTTCCTTAAATAGTCTGGTGCTTATGAATTGTAAAAGATTATTCTTCTGACCATGCCTCTTGCAACATAAGCCATTAATACAGGAACAGATATAAAAAAGGGCGAAGAATATTTTAAAGTGCTTATAGTCATAATAGATTAAACATGAATATTCATAAGACCCTGCATGTATCATCAAACTTGGAGATATTTGCATCATTCCAAACGAGATAATTACTTTACATTTTTACCCTGGAAATCAAAATCAAATGCCAAAACAGGTTGGAATTAGAATTTAAATTCTGTTTGACAACTGTCTTGACAAAGAGGACAATCTGAAATGTATCAGCGCTTGTTGAACCTCTAAAAATAAAGGATTCATCTTTCTGATTTGCACATAGCGTATGCTGTTATAAGTAAACCAATAGTTGTAACAAGTTGATTGATTGTTAACATTGGGTTATAAGTTAATGGTTATTTAATATAATATGTTTCTAGTTAATGGTTGGTATTTGTTGTTAGAGTTCGGGTTCTCATGGTTTTATAAGTGTAATGGGCAAGGTCCGTTGGTTGGTGTGGGTGTGGTCAGGTGGAGTTGGGGGTGGCCCAGGGCTGGCAGGGTATTGTTTGGCAGTATGGAGGATTCAGAAAACCAAGAGAACACTCCAAAACATGACCTCCTAAGAGTGACATCTGTATCGTAGACAACCATTGGTGGAAGAAGCGACAAATCACTCAACACCCTGGAGGAATGATCGGCCTGGAGTGCACCCCATTAAGAATCAATGAGAGCCCTGGAAATGGGCCAGTCAGAGAGTGGATCGTAAACAGACCAATCCTGGACAGAGGGGAGTCTATAAGGGTGGCAGTGGGACTTCACTTGTGGTCCTCCTATGGAGACTGATATTCCAAAGGAGAGTGTTTGGTATTGTAGTGGAACTCAGGCTTATCCTGGGCTCCTGCCTCTGTCAGTGTTTTTCTTTTTGGTTAATAAAGTGTTTGACTTTGTTTTTCACCCAAAAAGTCCATATAACATATGTCATCACTAGAACCATGGGAAGTTTAAAAAAAAAAGCTTCAACCACCATTTATTTTTTCCTTTTATGTCTAAAAAAATCTACAGAAAAACTGGGGAAATATCCACCAGTGGTGAAATAGATTTATTTTCCTCATTGTTTTAAGTCTCTACTGATACACTCCTTGGGTTTTTTCATACAGAAAACAAATTAAAATACTTAGAAGACTTCTGTTTTTTCATAGTTTTGCCCTTTAGTGGTACAGCAATCAATGGCTTGAAAACTACCTCACTTGTCAGTAAGAGAGGCAACAAAATATTAATAACCATATGGGAAGGGACAAGAAAGAAACACAGAGAATGCAGAGGAAATAGAAGCCATAGGAAATGAGGAAAAGCAAGAGAACCAGAAATAGCACTCTTTGTAGGGAAGGAAACGCACATAACAGGATCGCTTGGCCCCTGAATATGTTGGCAACTCAGCCAAATTTTCTCTTTCCTCTGCACACCTAATTTTCAGTCCCAACCACCTGTCTCATGAAGACTCATGCAGCATTTCTGTGAGATAAGGAGCACTTTACCCTCAATGGATAGAAGAGAATCAAATCATGTAACTCATTCTGACTCCCCATTAAGCAAGACCTCCCGTTTTCCTTGCTGCTTTACCAGCCTTAAATGTATTTCCACTACCCTCCTTGTCTAAATGTATTCTTCTTGCTCTCTGCTACTCTTGCTATTATGGCCAAGTCAGCTTAATTCTTCAGGTTGACTGGGTCCAGTGCAGGGAAAAAAAATTAAAGGGTCATTAACATAGAAGACATTAGAATTTTGCTTTTAGATGAAATATCTGATAATTACAAGAAAATTCATCTCAAGCGTGGACTGTGAAACAAATATAAGAAGTTTTCTGCAAGCATTTATAACAATATTTTCTTTCTCTAAAAAACATGTATATCTTAGCCAAATCTAAATGGATCTTCAAAGGACAGCAAAAAGCAAATTCACAACATTTGCTTCCCAAGTCTTTACCTCAAAGCACCAGGGCATTAGACCTGTTAAAAATTAAAAAAAACACCAGATAGGATCATTTTTCCCACAGCCTCTGTCTGCAAGCCCTCTGAACTGGTTCAGTTGCAATTTTATATATAAAAATTCATCAAAAGCAGTCAGGACCACCGAAAATTTCAGCTTAAAGAGTTAAAAGCTTGGCAAAGCGTAATGCAAATAAGATGACATTCCTGAAAAACATCAGTCAGCTTTAATAACTGGTTGTGCTTCCAGCCTGTCTTGTACACATGTATTACATGGACTCATAAAACTAATTCCTGATGGGTTTTCATTGTGCTCCATTGTTATACTAATATAGTTAGCACATGTTAAGATACTTTCTCATTTGAGATAGGAAAGACAACTCGAATTCCAATGATCATAAAGCACATACTTATTCTGTCAAAATTCCAAGTCAGAAAGGCCCTTGAACTAAATTACAGTGAAAGAGTATAATAACTATTATGAGCTTGATTTTAAATATTTGCCTTCTCTTTTAAATGAAACTGCTGAGTCCTTTCACTCTTTCTCTGGGATGGACTTTTCTCAACGTAATTATCTTCAAAGTGAATGTTAAGCAAGCATTAGAATCTCTGACAAAGAAGATTTTAGAGGACAGTGCAACCATTTTTTTTCAGGTTATTTAATTTCCAGTAGACCAAGCTTGTGCTTTATGGCAAATTTCCTTGTAGCCACAGGAGCTACAGTACTTTCATTGTCATTTTCATTTTCAGCAGCAATTCCAGTTTACTTCCCTCACCAGTCCTTAGTTAACATAAATTCTGGGCCAGAAGTGCAGCATTTGCCATACAAAAAGCTGAGAATTTACCTCCAAGGATAAAAAAAAAACGCAATTCACTTGCTGTAATGTAAGCAGGATGTACTGAGTATCTCAAACAGCAGAGAAATGTGCCCAAGGCTACAGTGAATCAGTCACTGAGAAAGCCGGAATTGGAATTTAGGAGCTCCTTGCTCTCACTCTACTGTAATTATTATTTATTCTACTGTAGCAAAGGAAAGGTCTCTTCAGGACCTGACCCATTTGTACCACATACTGTACAAACAAAGAAAAAAGAATATCCTACTCAAAAAATTGTGATCTGTCAGTAAAAATTATTTTCAGGCACAAGGTCTAACATACCTATATTCAAGAGGAAAATAAATCACTTCACAATTACTTGTAATTAAATATCACTTTATTAAAATGACTGGGAAACATTCTTGCCTTCCACTTCAGATATTTATTTTACAGTTCTTAATTATACTTACTGCTGAGGTTCTCCAAGGTGAAATTTAATAGATCCATGAATCCTGAGAGTTGCATAAGACTGAAGTTCATTTCTCTAGCCCACCAAAATCCTGCAGTATAATAATCTAGTAAAATTGCTTCTTTCAAAGATGTCTTTAGTTTTGTAAGATTCAGAAATTCTTCCATCTTCCTAAAAAGTTCAGAGTAAAATAATGGAATTAAAAAATAAAATACAAAATAAATCCAAAGTTATACTTGGTCTGCATGCAATTATATCTAAAACATTTGTTTAGTTGCTATATTATTCATATATGCATATAATAATACACATAATTTCTTAAATTACTATGTATGTTATTGTTATTAATATATAATAATTAAGCAAGTATTAATTTATTACCAATATAATTATTAATAATATTATATCAATGATATACATAATTTCTTGAATTTAGCTACATCAATTCCTAGATAACATTTCTGATCAGAGGATATATCAAAAAGTAAACGATTACCTGCAGGTTTCAGCAGACACTATTGAAGTGTTAAGATATGACTAACAAAAGAACAAAAACTAGAGCATTACTGTCGTGGTTTTAAAACATTAACTAAAAAAAGTACTAGAAAACTTATTTATTTCTTGCTGTGAGATATGGATTAGAACAAGAGCAAAACAGGCTTAAAACTTAAAAGGAACAAAGAAAATTTATTAACAAAAACTACAAGAATAAGAAACCAGAATAAAACATCCAGAAACCCTCTTTTTCCCACAACCCAGCCATTCCCCTGTTCACATGACAACACAGAGACAAAAAACTTGGTGGTTAAAACAGTCTCAATTTTGCTATGGTCTTTTCATCAGTCTTTGTAGAGAAAAAGAAGTCCTCTTCTGCTAATCTATGGAGTTTTTTCACCAGAACACCATTTTCTTCATGGCTTTCTACTTCTCTGATGCCAGCTGCCCGGAAATTCTGCTATCAGTTCTCTCCTCCCATTTCACATCACTCTGAGATGTGTTATGGGTCAATGAGTCAAGATGGGGTGTCATTTTTAAGGACGAGTTCTTCAAAGGCAGAATTTCTCTTCATCCGCTTTTGTGAGCCTCTCTGGAAACAGAACTTTTCTCTTTGTCTCTTAAAGGCTACAAATCTTCAACTACTACTTCTCTTTTTCTGTTCCAGCATATCATAGGATCACAACTACTTCACCATTTGCTTAAATCTACACTTTGAAATACTCTGTCATGAATTAAAGGAGTTTTTTCAGAACACGATTGTCTACCTCCATAGCTTTAACAGAAAAATATTTCAGCTTATTAAAGCATCTCTGTATTTCTCTTCCCCCCCTGAAGCTTAATTCCTTTCTTCACTGTCTTTGATAGTTTATGGTGTCTCTTTACATGTTGATCACTTTCTCTCTCTGGAAAAAAAAGGATTAATCTGCAAGTCTCATCTGGATAGTGAGAGTTAAAATCTTGCCCAGGCCTTGTAGATGGTTCTGTGATCTCTGCCAGAGCAGTGGCTGGAGCTGTCTACGATAGAAGATTTTTTTTTCACAGCTGCTCTGGAGCAGTGTGGTCACTGTCTCAGCACGCTGCAGGTCAATGGCTTTCTCTCTCCTTACTTGGCAGTCTCTGATAAAATTCAGCAGTGGCAGAAACTGCAGCCAAGCCAGGGACTGGCTTGGCTCGGCCTGGTCCCACTTCCCTCCCCCGTCCCCTGCTCCGCGGCCTTGTCTGGCCTGGTAGGGAGAGGAGGAGGCTGAACCAGAGCCCTGTTACCTCTTCAGAAGCCGGAAACCAAAGTGAACAAGAAATTCCTGGGCTTAGGTCTTAAGGTGGTGTTCACAGGTTATCTCACTTTTCAGGGGTCAAAACCACTGACAATTCTCAGAAATTGCCAGTTATTGGTCAGGAGAAAAAAAACTCCCATCAGCCTCCAACAGTTTTAACTTCCCTAGCTCTCAAAGCTAATCTTAAAGGTGCAGAACTTAATATATAACATAAACCAGGCAATTGGAGATACCAGTATCATAAAGTCACCCCAGGACAATTACAAAACCAAAGAGAAATATATTGAAAATTCCGGAGGAAAAAAGTGTTTCATCAGGAATTGGTTTGTGGGATGAAATGACACAACTAGTCTTCACTTTCCACTATCATGCTTTCACTCTGATTTAGATGGTTTTACAGTAGTAATATGATCTTGTTTCCATTTCAAGGTTATTTTTCATATGGCCTCTGATTAAAAATTACATTTGAAAATTAATGTAAATAATATATAATTACTAAAAGTAGCTAAAATATTTAGAAGTTTAAATTGCACTTCCATAATGGTCAAAAGATTTAAAAAGAGCCTTATTCCATTTTACTGGTACATGATAAATTTTTTTCTGCTTAATTTAACTTGCAAAATTTACGAAAAAATACACTCCCTTGTAGGAGACCATACTGTTGCTGATACATTTATGTCTACTCTATCCAAAAACAGAATTAGTTACGTCTTTTATAATAGCTGTGTGCTATTTTCCACATGAAGAGAGGGGACTGGGGCTAGGACTTGGTTTCAATTCTTCCAGTATTAACTTCAGACATATCTCAGTCAGTTAAGTTTTACATTAAAGCAATCCTTGGCTTAACTACAGCTGAGGATACAGGTGCCAGTGATCACAGTTTTTAGTCCCCTGCAAAAAAGCAAGGTTATCTCAAGCCCTGCTGCCTTCTCATTCCTTCCTAAGAAGGACATTAATTCCAGACCTACTGATAGCAGCCATTAGATTTTCAGGGGTTTCGCAGACACAGTACACATACGCTGTTAAATGAGATGAGTTTCTTTCTTTAATTACTGACTCAAAAGCTAACAGAGGAAAGCACATAATCTAATCGGTTTTGGACTTGGAATCCAATCCAATTTTTTCCAATACATGTTTTAAAACATGCATTCCTTTGTTCTGCATGACAAATTTGTACAGCTCCACACATGCAAGTTGGTTAAAAACACTTAGCTGTGTACTGGAATAGAAGTGGAATGTGGCCAGCTGAACTTTCCAAGGTTTGAAACAGTCCATATCCTCTCTCTCTGAAGCTTCTGCCAACTCTGTGTTTTCATAATCTGAGCTTCTCAGGGATTTAGATTTTCTCTGATTCTGCTAAAAATGCCAGTGCTCATCTTTTCAATATTCTGTAAGACGTGTCACTGACAACAGTATCTGTACATGATTGAGAAATGATGCGGCAGATAGATTTCCTAGTTATCCTCACTGCTTTTTCTTTCTTCATAGGGCTCAAGTCTTATGAAGATGGACAGCAGTACAAAATTCCCTGATAGACGGGACTGCAGGACATCAAAACTCTCATACTGAATCAGATCTAGTCTGATTTTCTAACCTTAGCTACGGCCTTCAAACTGCTCTTGTAAATAGACACAATGCACTGTGGTAAACAAACTTCTAATGCTGCTGCTAAACTGCTTAGTGTGCATAAAATACCCTGTAACTATGCTACTTCCACTCAGATGCAGTATATACTTTACATTCCCCTTGTACAGTCTGTAAATATAAATACATATGTGATCAGCTGAGTCTAAAATAGCATATGATCTTTCCTAATGAGAAAGTTGAACAAAGAATTGTATCATTAAGCACATTTTAGTCTCCATGAGTTGTACACTTCAGTCTCCTCTAAATTTAAAGAGGCCTATTGTGCAAGAGAGAACAGGAAAGGAAAGAATTTTTGTATTGTTATTTGATGGCAGCAACTTTTCTTTCCAGTTTTCTTAAAAAAAATCCAAAAAGACCTTTTCTCCCCTAGAACAGTGACAAATAGGAAGAACAAAATATATTTCAGGAATATTTTAATCATTGGTAAATGGTTACTTATCCAGAAGAACAAAGCTGGATTTTATATCACCCCCACCTCTTCCTTCCCAAACTAGACCAGCAACCCAGCCCTTTGGCTTTCAATTCCCTAAGAACCTGCTAACAGACACAAGCGCTCCTAAATAATTCTTGCACTTCTGAAAAGTCACATTTTCATATATAAATCTGGAGCCTCAGGTTGAACTCCTGGCCTCCAAAATTTAACTGCTATTAAACACTAATAACAAGGGAGTGTTGGTACAGGAAAGACAAAGACAGCCTGACATCAGAAGTCTGGCTGCCTCCTATTTCCCCACTGCACCATAATGGCAACCCACTGTTACCTTTTTAAGCTTTCCATCCCTTGCTGAACTATTAAGACTTTTTTGATTTTTTTGGTAACTCACATTAAAGTACAGAATTTTGAATGTTTTAGCAAAAAATGTTACCCAGTGAGTCTTACAAAGAACATCTCAGCATCAGCCTGTTCTTATTTACATCTTAGTATTTTTTCTACAGCATATTTAAAGATATTGTAAATTCAGAAACCACAACAAGGTGAAATACAAGTGGAAAAAACGGAGCCTAAGCAAAATCAAGAGCTATAAGAAAAACAGTAAACCAAACTGGATCTGAGACCAAAAGTATTTCTTCCATCTTTTGTGAATAATATTAAATATCAATGATTTAACTGAATAATTAAACACTAATGATAACCATCACAAAAGAAATCTAACAAATAGTGTACAACTTTTATTTCATTATTATATGGGTTCCAGCATTGTTCATTGTTACTTACTTTTCAACTCCTTCCAGATTTTCTTCTGACAAGGCAATAATTTGGGAAAGAGAAATAAATGTCCTATTAGTGATCTTCTTTCCACCTACATCATCCTGATCTTGGACTTCATCCTGATCTTGGACTTCATCCTGCATACAGGTATATAGGAATGTAATTTTAAAGATGTTTATTTTATTATGTCAGTAACTTAGCTAAATAACATTTTTATATTGAAGAGGTATACAAGGGATTAATTCAACAAATGCCAAAAATGTAAGACAACTGTAATTATACAGCAGTAGCACAATACCTTAACACATTCTCACTAGAGAAAAGCTGGGCAGATACATGGAATATAGTATTTTTATCATAAATTCATATGGGAATACATTGACATATTATGTGCTGCACAAGATTAAATTAATTTGCAAGTAAAAACAACAGCGATTTAAAGGTGCAAAAGAACCCATGAATCTAAATTTGACCAACATGATACTGCATTGCACAATAATTAAATTTTAAAATTAACATTCTCCTAAACATATGATGAGAATAAACACATATTACTATGCTATTTGCTCTCCACCATGCACTTGATTGCATTTTCAAATTTACTGTCTACACCCTGTCCATCCCTTAGCCATACAAAAGTCAATGATGTTTGCTGCAAAAGAATGATACACAAGGATCTGACACTACTGTTTCTAGAAAGGATGCACATGTTTTAGGGGATAACAAACTGAGCATCAATTAACAATGCAATGGTCTATAAAAAAATAGGAATATTTGATGATACTTTCTTTTGTGTTGTCATTGACAAAAAAGAAATTTCAGTAAGAAATCTATGAAATGCAAAAAACAGTAGGAAAAAAATCCCATAAAACTGTTTCCCATTAGAATATGGAGATGGTAAAGTGAGGTGTGAGATGAGGCAGCCCCTTCAGAGAGGTGCACAGCAGGGGAACAAGGGACAATGGTCATGGGACAGTGCTCCAGGTGAAAGGGATCCACAGTAGGGAATCATAAGGAAAAATACTACACTATGAAAATATTTAAGCGTTAGAATAGATAATTCAGAAAGGCAGAGGAATCTCCATCCTTGCAGGCTTTCAAAACTAAACTGTAAAGAGCCCGGCTGGGCACTTGGTGCTGGCCCAGCCCTGATCAAGCAGCTGAAACAGTTACAAAATGCCTTTCTGATGGGAGTCTGCTGGGCCTGACCACACGAACATCTGTCACAATTTGCTAGTAGCAGGTATGCTTGTACACCTGCAGGACCTGGTGTTTAGAGAAGTGCAGCAAGGCAAAGATTGCAGAATCCTGCTTCCAGCTCACATAGGGAGAGCAAAGCAGAATTCCTGACCTACACTGATTTTTGAGCCTGACCAGCACTGCTCTGAGCTGCTATCAATTCACTCCAGTGCCAGTCAAGGAGAGCCCCCAAATAAAGCTACACTACTCCCCCTGCTGCTGCCAAGCTACAAGATGTATTGAAATCTGTGACTAGCTGAAGAACTAGTCAGGCAGGACAAAACAAAATTGCAAGCAACAAAGAACATTCATTCAGTGGACAGACTATTCTTCCCCTCTCTAATTAAGTACTAGAGTACTTTCACATATATTTCAATAAGAAAAATTATTGTTCCCAACTGTAAACAAGTCAGTCTCAGATACAATGTTCCATTGGAAACAGAATGGAGTAACTGAAGGCTTCCTTCACATAGTTAAAAGCATGATGTTAGTTCACTTTTATTAGCAGTAATTTACACAGAATAAAAAAAAACCCAACTCCTAGTCAGTTATGCTGCTATAATTGAAGCTGAAGGGAAAAACCAATAGCAATACATGCTAATATTCTACAATTATTGAAAGACGTATTTCAGTACATAGAAAAAGTATATATGCTTTCCTGCAGTGGTGTTAGAAACCTGTTGAACATGAGATTCTTTAGAAGCTGTGGGAGCTGAATTAAATGGATAACTGATACTGATGTTTTGAAAACTGGATTAATGCTCCTCTCTCTCTCAGGATATTCAATACATAGAATACTTCAGTTTGGTGACCACCACTATATAAATTACATATTACTCGTATGGGCATAATTGTTAGTAAGGAATAATTACATCTCACTGGGCATAATTGTTAGTAAGGCAAAATGTTAATGTTTTACAAGTTGCAATTTAAACTGAAGAGATAGGCAGGTGCTGTAACTCAGTGCTGCAGAAAAGGCTCTGTAATCTGCACATCAAACCGCAATAGTTTACAAGGCAAGGTGAATGCCTCCCAAGAGCCATTTCATCACCTGGAGCCTGGAACAACATTCCCTGTAGCAACATTCTTACCAATGTATTACTGGTTTTGTTAATGCTAATGATAAGGATGGGGTTGGGGTGCCACTGTCCACTATAACAGGCACAGGTATCAGATAAGAAGAAATACTGTTACAAATGACAGATGAAGAACTATGGGAGAGAAAGCACATGATATTTTTTTATTATTTTTTTTTAATCAGCAATGTTTCTGTAATTTAAGAAAGTAGTGAAGGTCCATAAATCATTTAAACAATTCTGTGTTTATTGACAGCTTCTGTTTGGGTTGAACCTACACACAGACCTGATGAAAAGCTTATAATTATTTTGATTGATTACTTTTGTCTCTTGATTGCTGTCTTTAACCACTACTGAAAATACCAGGAGATTATTTTTAGATGCATTCACTGGTGTCAAAGAATTTAGTGTTCATTTTAGTGTTAACTGCAGTGACTGACTGAGGTAATCCAAGGTGAGTTAATTCTAGTAACGTCTGTCTTCATGTGTCAGGAAAAAAACTCCTGAAACCACTCCTACAAATGCCCATTCCCAGCAGTAGACAGCCTACTTAAGTACAGGCTACTTCTAGAGAATTATTTGTTACTGTTTTATTTTTCTTTGAAGGATTTTCAGCTGTTCTGAATGCATAATATGTTCCTGCCTATTCAACACATTATTGCAAGTGCTGTGGGCATCCCTTGTTAACAGCATAAAATCAAGATACCAAATCATATATTCTAAAATAAAAGAGTAAGATCTTCCTAAATCTCTCAGCCAGTGTCCACAAACCACCATGAAGCAGGAAACAGCAGCAGCAGCATGATATAGTTAAACAGCAAATTCCTAAAAACCTCTGTTTACAGGGGTAGGGAAGAACTCTCAAAACTCCAAACTTATCAAATCTTGTCAACTGTAGCAAATACTGAAAGTGGAAGAAACCAAAGATCCTGCTGTCCTCACCCCACCAGAGAAATCAGACTGGACTCAACTTTCCAGTAGCTCATGTAAAGCAAGCTCAACTACTCTGCCTGGGCTGACAGCAGTGCAGATGTACCCTAGAAGAGTGTTGTATATCAGTTACAACTATAATCAAAGTGGCAATGAAAAAAACCCAACCAAACGACACCAGCAACAGAGGCTGTTATTTGTATTATTATACACATTTTGTTATCAAGCTGTCAAATGCTTCAGTAGTGGCAGAAAATCCTGAAGCTTTCTCCATAAAGAGTTAAGGCAGAAACAGAAACACATTCACTCTGTTTTTAAAGGCCCAGCTTGTCTGCTCCCACAATGGGAAGATCCAATAGTTGCTATTTTTAGTCATAAACATTTCTTTTATCATCAAACAAATGAGGAAATAAAAATAGCAGCACTAGTTTCAACTACCTTCAAAAGGGAAATATGCAGATGTGTCAAATGCAAAAGACAAAATCTATAGGCAAAGAAAGCTTTCAAGGACATTATAGACATCATAGTGTCCTTTTAATAACAAAATAAATTTCAAAAATTTCACAGTCCAAATATCAAGATTTATGGTTGACCAAATGTATGACGACATTAAATTTTACTGATGTTCTCACATCTGCAGACCACTTATGAGAAAAAATGTTGTTAAAAATAAAGCAGCAGCAGCAGCAAGACTTGTAAGATCAGTACTCAGATTTTCTAATAGACCTTCTGCTGAAAGTCATTACAAGTTGTAACAGTTATAAAAATATTCAACTTAAATCAAAAGGAATTGTCTCAAAATGTAAGAAATTATATTTAAAAACTATCAGAATTCAGAATTTCCTACACCTTGCTTATGGACCATGCTAAGCTACCATCAGCTAAAACTAGAGACTATAGAAGGTGATTCATAAAAACAAACAATTCCACAGGGCTTACAATAAAAAAAAAATCATAAAGGAGAGACAGAAATATCACAAAGGTAAGCAACTGTGCTAGAAAAAACTTCAATACATAAGGAAAAGAAAACACATGAAAAAAAAATGTTCAATGAATTCCTCTAAAGATTTTTTTATAAAGGCATGAAGCAAAAACTACAGAAATTTCAGCAGTACATTTCAAACAGATGTACGATATATTTTTGACAGCCTGTCGGTTCCCATTGAGCACACGCTGTAGCCTTTCACTGTGATTTGACTGCATTACCCCAGTGTTACACTGCTCCAACTGCCAAAATATTTACAGAGAGTGCTAACGGGAGCACACGGTGAAAGATGCATATATTTTTCATAAGGCATTTAGAATACTTAATAACACATTTCACATGGAAGAGGGTTTATTTATTTAAGGAAGCCTAAATGGTAAGCTTTTTGTACTGACAAAGACACAACCATGACACTACTCCGCATTAACCACTCCCATAACAGTCACAGCATATTCTCCACTGTCTTGGCCAGTGGAGACAACAAAGCAATTCAACCAGAAGAAAATTATCTTGTAGTAGCTACAAATACATAGATAAGCTTGAGGGAGAAATTCTGAGTTGATGCAACACCTCATACATTCTTGGGAAGAATAAATTTTATTCTTATATCTCTTCACATGCAGCATGAGATGAGCTGCCTGTCACAAACCACATCTCTGTCAACCAAGTCAAAAACGGAAACAGGAAAAAAACAGGGAGGAGGCCTAAGACAAGCAAGTAAAGCAAATACTAATGCAAACACTGTGGATTTGTAAAATCCTGCAGAGCACTTCAGCTACCTAAGGCAATGAAAGGCGAGAAATACAACCGTGATATTGCTGGAAGGAAAGTGTAAGCTTGCTTCCACTCCCCCAGTGCCCTTTAAAAGGAAACTACAAGCCTTTCCCTCAACAATCAAAAATTGGAGACCCCTACCACCACAAAAAAGCTAACCATGGTGGTTTGACCTAGGCTGGATGCCAGGAACTTACCATGGCCTCTCTGTCAGCCCCCTCCTCAGCTGAACAGGGCAGAGAAAACATAATAGAAGGCTTGTGAGGAAAGACGAGGACAGGGAAAGATCACTGACCAGTCACTGTTATGAGCAAAAGAGTCTCAGCTTGGGCAGAAAAATAATAATTCATTACCAATTAAATCAGAGTAGAATAATGCAAAATGAAAACCTACATTTCAAAACACACTTTCCCCACCCCTCCTCTCTTCCCAGGCTCAATTTCACCCCCAATTTTCTCTACTTCCTCCCCCCAGAAGCACAGGGGAATGGGGTAAAGTGCTTGCAGTCATTTCATCACATGCTGTGTCTGACCCTGCTGCCTCCTCATGGGGAAGATTCCTCACACTTGAACCCTGCTCCAGCATGGGGTCCCTCCCACAAGTGAATCTTCCATGAACTGCTCCAACATGGGTGTCTCCTCCGCCGTGACCTCCATTGGCCCCAGGGGCACAGCTGTGTCACCATGGGCTGTAGAGGAATCTGCTCTGGTGCCTGTAGCACCTCCTGCCTCTCCTTCTCTGCTGGCCTCAGTGTTCACAGGACTGTAGCTCTCCTATATTCTCACCCCCTTTTTCCATCTACTGTTGTATGGTTTCCTTCTTCCCCCTTCTAAATCTGTTTTCCCAATGATTCCTCTCTCTGGTGAGGTCAGCCTTGGCCAGCTGTGGGTTTATCCTGGAGCTAGCTGGCATTGGCTCTAGTGGACATGTGAGAAGCTTCCAGCAGCTTCTCACAGAAACCACTCCTGTAGCTCCTTACTACCAAATCCTTGCCACACAAACCCAACATACCAAGAAATAACCATACATTTGTGAAGGAGCGTCTGTAACCAAGTGAAAGCTGGTGAGGCAGAGGAAGGTCAGAGGTAGATGAGGCACCCACCAGCAGCAGCTCGGGGTGAGGTGAGAGGGGTTAGAGACAGACCTGGCTGGGCTGTGCCAGCCCAGGCTACACAGTCTGTGCTGGAGGAACTGCCTTGCTAGGGCTGGCAGTGTCTCTCCATTGAACTGCCTGGGGGGGTGACAGTGAAACAGGTGTACTTTTATGTATACATATATATATATATATTTACAAACACTCACAGCACTTTTAACACCACACCCTTTTCTACACAAAATCACAGAATAGTCTGAGTTGGCAGAGACCTCTGGAGGTAATACAGTCCATCCCCCAACCGAGATGGGTGGCAAAGGAACACATCCAGGTGGGTTTGGAATGTCTCCAAACGTGTCTGTCCAGGGATGGACACTCTACAACCTCCTTGGACAGCCCGTTCCAGTGCTCTGCCATCCTCAACATGAAGTTCTTCCTCATATTGAGATGGAAATTCCTCTGTTACGGTGTATGTCCATTGCTCCCAATCCTGTCAGCGGACACCACTGAAAAGAGACTGGCACCATCCTCCTGACCTTTGAGACATTTAAATATATTGATGAGACCACCTCTCAATCTCCTCCAGACTAAGCAAGTCCACCTGCCGCAGTCTCTCGTCACAAGCGATATACTCCAGACTCCTCACCATCCTTGTGACCCTTAGCTGCAGCTCGGCACGGACAATTTAATACAAAACACCCCAACGCCGGGTGAGGCCCACCACTCCCCTCCCGGCGGTACCTGCGCGCTCTCCGCCATGGTCACCCAACCCCGGCACGGGAGGCCCCGCCCCCGCTCCCCTCAGAGCTCCGCCCCGCCCCTCACGGCCGCGCTGCCGCCGTGGCAGGGCCCGGCGCCTGCTCCTTTTTCTTTAATGAACTTGCAACAGTTGTGAACTAAAACTGCGTCGAAACGTTTTCTCTGTCAGTTTTCTACTGTATGCAGCAGCAATAATTCAGAGTAATAGCAGTTGCCTCCAAGACCAAATAAAATGAAAGTATTTGGTAGATGAACTGTAAGGAAAACAAAAAATGATCTAACTTTGTAAAGTTTATGGATGTGCTGAGGGAGTTGGTATGGCAAAACACCTTCTTTGTAGTGCCCCACATAAAGCAAGGGCCTCCCGAGATTTTCTGCAGCTGTTTCAAGCTCTGCCACTGCTTCGGAGCAGTGTGCCACCTTCAGAAGGTTGTCATCCTCAGCTTCTTAAAATGTGTAAACCACAAAGTACAGTGTGTGTCCTAGCTGGGGCACAAGAGACAAGAACATGCCCATTACCCACTAAGATTGTGATGTATAGTGTGAGATTCAACACGTCTGTAGCTCCTGTTCCAGCTCAAACACCCTGACCCTCACTGACACAGGTAGACCAATCACACTTCCAAAAGGAGTCACAGATCTTTGAGGTTCAGAGACCTGGATCCTGCAGTGTTTTGTAGAATTATTCATAGTATTTTAAAGAAACAGAGCCCACACTGTGAATTTTAAAGAAATAGAGACCATACTGTGAATTCCTACAATTTGTGCTGTGCTCTGTGTCTGATAGCTGTATAGATGTGTTACTTCCCCTTTTACAGTATATATAAATCTAATCAAATAAGAACATTATTCAGAGCTGCAAGCACTGCACATAGTAAGGTGTTAAAACTAGGAAATTAAGTGTGGCATTTGGACGCAATGTAACATTGGGTACATTATTATGTTACCTAGTTGGTAACAGGTAGATAGATTCTAGACTTAACCGTGCATTCCTCTGAACTGATAATGCCCATTGACTTCCATGAATATTTTCAGTGTAAAAGACTTGAGGGCTTAAAGCCTTTAGAAAGATCTAATTCAGTTTCTCTTGCTCAATATAAAAGGACTGAATTCTCACTTACACAAAACCTGAACTGAGCAGGTGATTGAAGCTGAGCAATGATTGAAGCTCAAACCACGTTTCCAGTAGTGAGCTCCTGAACTTCCTACTTTTCAATTTAGATTTTTAGATAGTTGGTGTCAGAAGGCTTACAAATAAAATTAAAAAAGGATTCAAGAGACACATCAAGCCATGCCATTTAATTTCATGTGGATTCTTCATGTTTACAAAATCATGTTCATGTGTATGTGAATAGTTAAGGTAGCTTTTTGATTTCCTTCAAATACAAAACTTGTTAAGTGCAACACAAAAATACTGAACCTAAAATAATGACATAATCTTTTCCTACTACAGGTAACCATGGTAGATTTCCTATGATTTCTAATGGTCACAGAGACCCCAGGTTAGAGGAGAACAGCAGAGCTCTTTCTCCACTGTGCAGCTGTTTTTGATGCAGTTTCCTGAATGTGTCTGTCATTTAATATTTTAAAAGTTTAATTTAAACAGAACATATTTGAAAATCTGGGTTTACAAATAAGTGCTCTTCTATTTCTCTGAGAAGCAACCAGAGTTCAGGTTTGGGAGATGTTTTGCTAAGATTGGTATCACTCAGCACATGAAGATCTTGGAAGGAGCACTTTCTTTATCTTCTGTCTTTGATTAAAGCTCTTTAGTTTATGGTGCCTGGGCCACCTCTAGCATGTACAAGATAACCACCACACAACCCACTAACACTCAGCCCTGGCTGGCAAACACTCAGCAATGGCTGGGTAAAAAGCTGGTTGCTCCCCTTAATTTTCTTCAAGTCCTCAGATTTTCATTTTGTTAACTACGCACTGAAGCATCACCCATATAGCATCTCCACACTGCTCCCTGCACAATGAACTACGCATGTCTTTGTAGAAATACTTTCCTCTTCATCACTCCATCTTTTGGGCAGGGAGCAGATTACTTGCATCACACAAAACCATGTCAAAAGGGGAATAAAGGTCACAGCTGCAAATAAATCTTTGATAGTGCAGGCCACCTGCAACTGGAACACAACTAGCAGCTGCAAGTGCTCCAAAATATTCCACTGAGTCTTCAAAACTTTTAATAACCAAGGTGATTCCATCTGATTTTGTGACTCATTGCAGAGATCCTGGCATTTCAGGAGAAAGTGAAACTTAATTTAATAAAAATAATGAATTTTCAGAAGTTGCATTTTATAAAGCAAAGGTTTTGTAACACAAAACAGGCCCACATAAACATCCTTCTATTGACATAGATCTTATAAAAATGTTCAATCACAAACACATTTGCATTCACTTTTAGTTAAGCATCATCAAGCATAATAATTAGATGTAGGCGAATTTAGGATGAAAAGCAGATGGAAACTCGTAGCAGAGCCTTGCTTGTTACATCAACATCAGATGGACATATAGCTCCTCTGGCTGCCAGCCCTCGTGACAAAAAATAGCTTATACTAATGCCCTGTGGTTCAAGAATTGAGAAGAAACCATGGGCATATGTGGAGAACTTGCACACAATATTTGACTTTGACCCTCCTAGTAATAAGTGGGTAATTTGTGAAAGCAACAGGACATTAGTGCTACTTGACTCTTAACAAAGAGCCCTGCATTACTGTACATGAGTGCATTAACATAGTAATTAATCATCCCCTCCTAGCTCCTTTATAACATTCTTCACAGATAATCTATCCAGGGAACAGCATTCCCCCTAGGTAATGTTCTTATATTTTACATATATAGATACACACCTTCAGAAAAAAATTCTGGCCATGATTATGTACTAGGAAAAGAAAAACATAAATCCCAGGTTGTCAGGGAAACTTTTTTTAAAACAAGAAGATAATTCTGCCATTTCTCAGGCAGTATCCAATTAAAATGAGAGACAGGTATGAGAGGATAACTGCTTTGGTGTATCAGCAGCAGGATAGACAGAGCCTGGAGTTATTTAGGGAGAGACGCTGCTTCTTTTTTTGTTCATTGTTTGTCAACATAATCTAGCTCAGTATCTCTCCCTTCCTGTTTAATCAACAGGTAGACAAAAGTTTCATGTGATTTTACAGTGATTTTGAGAGACTTGTAATGTTGGCCCAGCAATAAGAAAGTACTAGTTAAATGTAGCAAATCATAACTTTTCAATTATTCAAAACAATATGCTTTCAGAGAAATGAAAGTAGTAAAATGTGTATTGTATCAATGTTTCCATTATTTTCTTGCCATAACAAGAAGTGGCTCAATGGAGGATAAAAACAAATTATAGATTGATTCTCTTCTTGATTATAGCCAGAAGACTGCTATATATATTGCCAAGAAATTGAATTGAGGTTCATAAAAATCTTAAAAATTAGATAAAAAATACTTAAAAGAACATGTAACCCATCTCCAGAGGACCTGTACTTTTCCTTGCCAACAAGAACTTCAGGCAGAAATAGGAATTTATCTAATCCAGTAGTTCAAGACAGCTCCTTACTATGTATTAAATTGTAGGAATAATGTAAATGTGTATATAACAGTAGACCATCAGCAGGAACTAAGAAAGCTTAGGTTTTTCTCCTAAGTACCTTTTAGTACAAAAACCTGATGCATAAGGTAAAGCAATATGGATAATTTAGAGCGCAGCTGTTTCAAACTACCTACCCTCCACCAATTGATAAAACAAAAACCAATATCTCAATAGAACTCATGGACTCCTCACAGTTATTATTCAAACCAGAACAATCCACTCAGAAGTCCCAAATTCAGGACAAGAGACAGAAAGAGGAGCACTGAGAATTGACTGACTCTAGGTCCTCTAAGTCTTATACAACCAGGAGAACACTGATGACAGTGGACAAATAATTTAACATAAGGATAGTGTAGGGTTTTGGGTTTGTTGAGAGAATTGTTTCATTGATAGAGAGCTGCATTCTTCAGGAGGACATTCTGTGCAGAACATAATTTGCCAATTAATGTAGTGGTGAAAATCACCAGAAAGAATAATTTAGATAGCAAATAGAAATAAAATTTATAAAATACAGGAGTACATATATTCATATTCTATATAAAATGTTATCTATTAAACATATATTTAAGTATTGGTTCTATATAATACATATGTTTATATTCTCTCTTCAGATTTCCACTTGAGCTCAGTGGAAAATTCCCACCTACTCTATATCTTTTCTAAGGATATAAAGTATATTAATCTTGGCAAGTTTACATGAACTGGAGTATATTTTACTCCACAAAAAAGATGAGACATTAATCTTCTGGGAAAACTCTCTTGAAATTTCATTTTGATAGACAAAATTTGACTTTTCAGTTTGAACTACTGTTCCATTTTGATGCCAGACCAAAGACAAAAAGATACAACTGTGGGAAGTATTACAACTTAGTAACAGAGCAAAGTTTACAAAAAAAATATAAATTAACTGATTCCTTTGTCCTTGCCCTTTTGTCCCCAAATAGGAACATAATTTCTTCCAGAAATTTCATATTTTACTCCTTTCATGCCTTTGTTGTGAAGCTCTATTGATTTTTTGCCACCTTCTCCATGTGATGTTAACCAGCTCTCAGAATAACATATAACAATTTAGGGCAGCAAATGAGAAAATACATCCAGCTGAAATTACAGGGGGATTTTCAATAGAGAGACTACAGTTATTCAAGACAAACGTTGTTTTGTATACTAAAGCTGACTGTATTTTTTGTTTATTTGTGAATTGTTTTCTTGTTGGACTACACAAACAGCTTCCAAGGTGTCTCAATAATTCTTTAGTTATTTAATAAGGGCTGGCAAGCATGAATTACTGGGACATAATAACGTCATGTTTAAGTGATGTCTTGGAGCAGGATCCCAACAACAGCAGCAACACCTGAACAGTCAGTATGGCAAATGTATCTCCATTTTACAGAGAGAGGTCT